CCTAAATTAACATCATGTTTCATTAAACGCATACGTGCATCACGTGGCCAACATTTTTTATTATTATAACCAACAATATTTTCATTATTTGGATCAGGATGTTCAGTTAAATAACGTTGAATTAAATCACGTGCTTCATCAGCTGTAAAACGAAAAAATATATGTATTCGATCAATATAACGACAATAAAGACGTATTGGATGTGCTGTTTCAACAACAACTTCTTGATATGTTAAAAAATCATTTGGTGTTTGAGGTAAACCAGCCATATCTGATGCACGTTGTAAACCTAATACTAATAAATCAAGTACAAGACCATAATATTGTACAATAAATGATGCAAATTGTAAACCACGTATAATACCATATGAATTAACATGATTCATATCTTTATAATTAAGTACAATATTATTTTTTGCTGTCATATAATCAGCTATATTATGATCAACAATAAGACGAAGTAAACGATTTAATAATGTTAAATCAATTTTTTCATATAATTTTTCAAAATGAGATTCAAGCATTACATTACATTCACCTTCATTTGTATCCCATATATCTTGAAGATTGTTTACACCTTGAAAGAAATTATTAATAGATATTAATATTACGAAATTACGAAAAAAACAAAAATATCTTACCTTGACACCATTTATAAACAAGTAATGGTGGTGGTTCACTATCAGCTGGTTTAATCCATGCTGGAAAAAGTCGACGTTTATCAGCTTCATACCATAAATATTGATCTAAATAAGCATCAGTTATTTTTTCTAATGGTTCAACATCATAAACAGGTATTAAATGACTATATAAATCCATAAATTCAATTCCACATTCTTTAAATGCACGTTGTGTTAAAAGATGTCGTTTAATACGTGATAATGCTTCATGTGGATTATCATATGCTTGTTCAATTAAACCTAATTCTTCACGTTGTGATTGATTTAATCTTGATTTAACACTATATGCTTCTTTTAAACGTTCTAATGCTAATATAAGTAATTTTGTATCATGTTTATATGCTAATGGTGGAAATGGTATTGGTGAAAAACGTCGTGATTCAAGCCAATGTACAACAGTTGTATAAATAGCAACAGCTTCTTCAGCTGTTATATATGGACCATCTTTAAGATAATTATGTTGTCGTTCTTGTTCAGCTTTTAAATAAAGACGTGTTAAACGTCCTAAATTTTTTTTACAAACTGTTTTATCAACTGTAGCACCACGTCGTATACGTTCACGATTATAATGTGCTGTTGATGTCCACCAATCAGCTTTAGCTTTAACATAACGTAATATCATATTTTCAATAGGTATTGGTAAACCAGGTACTTTCCATGGTATATTTGCTTTCCAACAACGCCATGCTTCACTTAAATGTTGTAATATTGTTCGTGCTTTATTTTGTTTAATACTTTCAGGCATCATATCTAATATATCATGCATAACAGCAGCACGTAATTCCAAATCATAATGTGATTCAACACGTTGTTTTGTAACAGTTTTAGCAATACCTTTTGAATGACGTCCTTCAAATTGTCGTGATAATAAATTACCTAACCAACGTTCTAATAATGGTGTAACACCACGTAAAAAAAATAACCATATACGCCAACCAGGTGCCCAAAAACCACAACCAGGTCCTTTACCAACAGGTCCTGTATTAAAACGATAATAAATTAAATGTTTTAAATCTTTACATAAACGTATTTGTCTCATTAATTTATATTTATAACGATACATGCCAGTTAATTGTCCAACATGTGCAAATGTATATTGTAAACCATCAGATAATTGAAATGCATCAACATTACCTAAACGATATTGTACATGACTATCAACAATTAATTTTGTTAAACGTAATATTTCACGACATAAATGAAATGCATTTCCAAAACGTGATTTTTTACGTTCTTTTGTTGTTAATGTTTTAACTGGTTTTAAATTAAAATTATAATCCAAATGAAGATAATTTAAATTTTTACGATGTATTAATAAATTTAACATATTATAACCTTGTCGACAAACTTGTAAACCAACTTCAACCCAATCTAATGTTGTTGATTGAAAAAATTTTGTTGATTTAAATGAACGAAATAGATAACGTTTTTTTTGTGGTTTTGGTTTACGATGATGTAATGCATTTAAAACAAAACATTTTAATAATTTTTGATATGATACACGTACTTTAACTGGATGTTCACTTGGACAATGTTCAAGATACCATGTTTTAACTAATGGTATATCAATAGCACGTCGTGAACGACCTGAACGAAGATTAAATGGACGTGGTGCCCATAATAATGCAATACCATTTGCTGTATGATCTGTATATAATGGTAAACCTGTTAATAATGGTTCAAATTCTTCAGGTAAAATAAATTCATCATCATCATCAAATTGTTCTTGATTTTGTATATCAATTGATTTTATTGCATGACGATGTGCTATCGGATTTATTAATGGATCAAAATAAAAAGCTGGTAAATCAGGATCTTCAGTTTTAATAAAAACAACATTTGGTGTATGATACCATGCAAGATATACTTTAAATGGATATGAATTATATAAATATGGAAATGCAATACGATATTCTGTACGTATTGGTTGACGAATTATAATTTTATTTATATCATTAAATTCATTCCAATCTTCATCACTAAAAAAAAAAAGAATAATAAAAAAAAAACAGTTTTTTTTTTGTTTTGATTATTGAAAAATATTATATTTACTTTGGATTAACATCTTTAACAAGTGGTTCAAATTTAGGACCACCAGGTATAGCAACATTAAGTGCTTTAGCAGTAAAAAATGATTTTAAATCAAATAAATAAAAATAATTATCATCAACAAGATCAGTTAATAATTGATTACCCATACGATAAAGTGTAGACAAAATTGGTAATGTTAATTGCCATCGACGATATGTTGAACCATTGACCATTCTAAAATTAAACAAGAAGAAAAGTTCCTAGTCCTTATTGGTGACATTTTATCGGTTAATGCTAATAAGAGGCATAAAGATGATCAAACTTTCAAAAAGTTTTCGCCCTCCACGGCACAATTGATCGGGCTCAAAATTTTTTTAATAAGTACTCTAATCGAATTGGGGTGTGTCTTTTTTGATAATATTGTTCCTATGAAATTTTGCAGCCTTTGGAAAAATTAGTACCATTGAAAAAAAAACACAGTTTTTTGATAGTACCTTCGATATTTTGCCTCTCATGAAGTGTAGAAATAATCTTTTTCGAAGAAAAAAAAAAAGATACATCCCGATTTGATCGTAGTTGTCACATAAAAAAATTGCAGCTCAGAAAGACATAGTACAAATTTTTGCGAGAGGAGGGAGGAACTTCTACCCATTTATGACCCTTGGATACTTCATATATTTTTCGTAGAGCTGTTCTCAAGAAACCCCAGAAATCAGGGTAGTTTTAAATAAAAACTTGCCGTATCCTGTACGAAAGCTGTGAAAATTGATAAAAAATTGACATAGTATTTCAAATCGAAACGCCTCCAATGAATTATCGCGCTTTCTCACTTAAAAAAGGAAAAGATGCTAATCGGAAATCAGCGGAAAAATCTGAATACATTCTCTTGTACGCTTCGATAAGAGTATGAGTGCATAATCTGCATTAAAGTATTCATATTCTCTGAAAAAGTAAAACAATATTTACTTTGTATCTGTTAATGGTTTATGATCATAGAACCATTCATAAATAGCTTTATCTTCTTCTGGATCTAATTGTAATTGTATTGCTTCTAATGGTTCAACATCAAGAATATTATCAGCATAATCTAATGGTGGTTCTTCATCATCAAATGGTGGAAAACGCATACGTTTAAAATGTCTTCGATCACGTTTTTCACGTCTCATCATAATCCACATTGTACCCCATTGTGCAATAAAAACAGGTTCAATAACCCATGGTATTTCATTAACAAATGTAATTGCACCTGTTATATGATAAATAACTTTAACATTACGTATTTGTTCCCATGGCATAGGCATATTTTCAAGTAATTTAAGTACAGCATGTGGCATATATTTAAGTGCACCCAAATAAACACGTTTATCATGACGAAATTTTCTATTTGTCATATCACCGTGATCACGAATGATTTTTCTTATATGTTCAGCTGGCATATCTTCTTTTTGTATGTCAGTAAAACCAAAACGTCGTTTATCAGCATAACGTTTTGTTTGTAATTGTTGCCAACGACGTGCTTTTTCTTGTAAACGATCTTCACTCATATAATCCATTGGCATTGATGAATTTTGTTGTTGTTGTTGTTGCTGTTGTGGAGTTGTTGGTAAAACAGGTCGTTGTAATGGAATTGTATTTTGTGTTGGTTGTTGTACAAATACAGGAAATGGTGCTGATTGCATCATTACTGGTACTTGATTAAGAAGTGGAACTGGTACCGAACCAGGTGGTACAAGAATAAATTGTGGTTGACCACCAGTAAATCTCGGATCCATATTGGTGATCTGAAAAAATGAATTGTAATTATGAAAGAATATACCTTATTGCGTTGTTATTATCAAATGAAATGAACAAAGAATAGAAATGTATTCCCCATATTTATTTCATAGAATTTTGTTCCTCTACATAATATGATGACTTTTACTGACATCTATTATAAAATATAGATGGTTCTTGTTTTTATAATTCAATTCATAACGTGATTTTATTTTGAAAATTATTTATCTTTCTTTTAAATTGAATTTTATATAAAGTGTGATGATTTTTTTTTGTCATTTTAATTGGTTAAATAATTAAACATTTAAATATTATAATAATAATGATTCTGCTCAAAACTATTCATCTGGAACATTTTGTCTTCTTAATATGACATCGACCTTACTCGTTTCGCGTCATGCTTCTAGTTTCATACGTAACTATTCTTCGTGCTATGATTTTACGAACACGTAAGAACAAACTTCATCTATTCAAATATATATATATATATATGCATGTGTCGGTCGACTGAACACAATGTGTTTGCTCGTTAGTGTCGTTTTACCTATTTGGTGTCATTTATATTTTACACGAATAGGTAAAATATATATAGTGGAAGAATCGATTGATAATGCATGCATATTCGGATGTTGAAGTTATATCATTAGATGACGAATTATTACAAGATCGAAAAGAAACACAAACTGCTTTATCGATACAAAAAGATATTGCAGCAACTTGTTGTCTACTTTTTAATCGAGGTAATATTTTCATGTGCTTGTTCTTGTTCTTGTTCTTCTTCTTTTTTAATACTTGATAATAAAATTTAATTTTTCATTTAGATTCATCAAATATATTGAAAATTTCTCTTGATCAATCATTTGAACGTATTCGATCAGGTTCAAGTGGAATTATTATCAGTTTACCGAAACAAAATCATCTAACTTATTTAATCAAATTTTCTAATCAAGAAGGTAAATTTATTTTAACAAATAATTTATCAAATAAATCCAGTTGATCTAAAACAAGCAAATAATTCAATAAATGAACTTTAGAAGAAAAAAAAACGAGATCAAATACAATCTGTTTTTGTGATTATCTCTATTATCTATGCTGAGTTTTGTTACTATTTCAAAAATGAATTTTTTCATACCCCACACCCTTCCTATGGAAATAGTAGAGAAAATTGCATTGATCTTCTTCTAGGAAACTACGGATGTAGCAAGCAAACAAAACAATGATAGAGAGTTGTAGCGAAATTAACCATGAACTATCATTAAAATCCTTTGCTAACTGATTCTATCGATTCATTTATTTTTCACATTGTCATTAGATATAATTCTTCAAGAAAATTAACTATCAACCTTCAGTTTTCTTCTAATTCGATATGTTTTAATAAGCAAAATAGTGTTTTTCAATTCATTAATAGTTGTTGAAGAGTTTTTACCCTTTAAAAATCGACGAGATGCAACTTAAATGTACATCATTGATTTCAGCATGGAAAAAAATAATTCAGCTTGTATTATTTCTTGATTATTATCTTTCATACATTTACAATACATTTATATGTAAATACATTTTTAGATGCAATCAAGTTCAATAAACTTCTTGGATTTATTAAATCTGGTAACGATATTGA